TTTTACAGATATTTGATGTACATATTACCAAGTCAAAATGCTAATCAATGTAAACAGAGCAAATAAGCATTAACTTGGTATACTGTGTGGTCAGTTTGAACATTCACAGCAAACCAATATATATATTAATCTAATTATAAAGAAAGAATAAGAAATGCAACCAGCATTATTAGTGTCATCTGGCATGGGACAAAATAACCGCCTCCAAAATGTTATCCAACCAAGGTTTCACTCTCAACATATTCCATTAGTCTTTCTCCTCTTCAATCCTCTCTTACAACAAATAGTTGATTCCAAAATAACATTCAAAAACAAAATTTTATCATGAATTAATTTTAGCTGAAAGACTTTCAGTTACTAATTGGATAAACATGCATTTTAAGATAACCCACGATAATGCCAATAGACAACCTTGGCTCTCAGAATTCTGGGAGTTGAAGTCCACGAGTCATAAAAGAGCCAAGGTTCCCTACCCCTGCAATAGGGGAACCATAATGCTAATCCTCAGCAGCTACTACGTATCTGTTTAATAATCAAGAAAATTCATAGGACCAAAAACAGAGTCCTTCAGCAGTCACCTTACAGGGGTAGTCAACCTTGGCTCTTTTATGACTCGTGGACTTCAACTCCCAGAATTCCTGAGCCAGCTGTGCTGGCTCAGGAATTCTGGGAGTTGAAGTCCACGAGTCATAAAAGAGCCAAGGTTGACTACCCCTGCCTTACAGGTTGCAGGTTCTACTATGGATGTTTGGGGTGATGGTGGTATTATTTAAATCAAATCCAATAAAGAGTATCTACACGTTCATTCTTTCATGTGTTAAAGAGAAAAGAAAACGAATTCTTTCCTGACCACCCATCCTTTGAGGAACAGAGTAAAGTGCTCTCTCTTATCAATTTTTTTTCTGGGAAGTTGCCTACCTTCATAATCACATTATATCAACATACCTAATCTTTATTTCTTTTGGTCAGTTTTACAAAATGGATAGAACACTCTTTCAGTTGAAATTGCCTGGATAAGAAATGTGCATCTTCCCTGAGCAGCATCCCCCAAACAAAACGGATCGTACCACAACTATGAAGCATATTATAGGTAGTCTTCATTTAGTGAATGCCTCATTTAGTGTCCATTTGCACTTACAAAGGAGATGAAAATGCAATTTCATGACCAATCTTTGCATTTATAAACTTTGCAGATCTATAAACCAAAAAAAAATGTGAATTAAAACCATAAGCACATTTGTAGTTTCCTTTAGTGACCGTGTTGCTTAATGACCAAGTTGCCAATGGCAATTGTGGTTGCTAAACAAGTGCTACCTGTAAGGAAACAGCAATGTCCAAATAAACAGCTGTTAAAGCAATAAATCACAAAGTAGTTTGAAAGGAAACAGCACGGTTATAGTCTGAAGCCTGTTATTTCCTAATGAAGACAGTTGGCACATGAATGAGATATATTCACTATTTATCCCCCATTAGATGGTTCAAACATCTGGCAGTCAGAATCATCAGCATGAACCTACGTGCCTCATGTGCAAGGTACTAGTCCAAACATTTCACCATGATAAATGTCTTGCTTTGGCAGAATCAGCAATTCAAACATGGTACAGAGGCCATTGACCTAGTGAAAGATAAACAAGGCACAATAAAGCAGGAAAATGCTGCGTGGGCCTTTCGCCAGGGTTTCGCTATTCAGTCATGAAACCAATGGACCAATGTATACAGGTATTCCTTGACTAACAACCACAAATGAGCCCAAAAGTTATATTGCTAAGTGAGACATTTGGTCGTACATGTGAAAAATGGTCATAATTCACTTTTTTCATTGCTGTTGTAATTTCAAATGGTCACTCAATGAATGGTTATAAGTCGAGGATTACCTATTCTCCCTCCCTCTCTCTCTCTCTCTCTCTCTCTCTCTCTCTCTCTCTCTCTCTTTCTCTCTCTCTCTCCCTCCCTCCCTCCCTCCTCTCTCTCTCACAGTTCAGATAGCAAATTGTGACAGGCTAAAAATCTGACAGGCAGAAATTAAACATCTTGCTATTTACCTACACACTGGTTGTTTTCATTCATTCGATACCCAAACCGACAAATGGGAGGCACTCTTCCAACAGTAGGATAATTTGGAGCAGGAGCTGGGACTGGAGGCGGTGGGTACACACTAGGTATGTAAGGATTCATATATGGGGATCGCTGGATAGGATTTGTTCGTGGAATGCATAAATAGCCGCCATTTTGGTTGACACACACCATGTCTCCTCTACAGGCCTCAGCAATAGTGCGGCATTCATCAACATCTGAAATAATCCAGAAATAGAAATGTTAACTTGGCTCTTTGCTGATTGATAGTTTGTGTCTGATTAATCACTTGTTGTTACAGTCAACTAATTAATGTATTGACTTTTAATCACATCATAAATTATTTATCCTACTTTTCAATTTCAAATTTAATAGTTCAGTATAAACTTCTTTTTGAGATAATTTAAGAAAGGGAGAGGTTTACAGACATAGACTGATTTTAATAATATCCATCCCTACCCCCTCAAATGTAATACACATGAACAGCAAGAACCAAAAACCACTAATTTCAAACAAATAAATTGAACCAAATAAATAGAATGGGCACAAATACAGGTAGTCCTCAACCTACGACCACAATTGAGCCCAAATTTATGTTGCTAAGGGAGACATTTGTTAAGTGAGTTTTGCCCCATTTTACAGCTTTTCTTGCCACGGTTGTTAAGTGAATCATTGCAGTTGTTCAGTTAATAACCCGGTTGTTAAGTGAATCTGGCTTCCCCATTGACTTTGCTTGTCAGAAGGTTGCAAAAGTTGATTACATGATCCTGGGACACAGCAACCGTCATAAATATGAACCAGTTGCCAAGCTCTGAATTTTGATCACATGGCCATAGGGATGCTGCAATAATCGTAAGTGTGAAAAACAATCATGTCACTTTTTTCAGTGTAGTTGTAACTTTGAACGGTCACTAAACGAACTGTTGTAAGTTGAGGACTGCCTGTAATAAATATATAAAAGCTCAGTCAGCGGTTGATTTTAAAGTTTAGTAATATATCCATTAAATTGATATTCAGAACAATACCATGCATGTCCAATGGGTCTTACTCCCAATACTGTTAGACTGTTTCCTAAATATTATGGTTTAAAGTTGTTATTTTCCAAGCAAAACTCAGATAATAGGTACTGATCCAGGCTGTTAATTTCAATTTACAGAGTGCTTCATAGGGAAATGAAGCTATAGTTTTCACATGGCCTTCCCCTTTATTGCAATTCCCTGTGTCCCTTAAAAGCAGGCACGCTAGCTGAGGAATTCTGGAAGTTGAAGTCCATGAGTCATAAAAGGGCCGAGTTTGAAGACCCCTGCTTAAAAGCTATTGCATGGGGGCTGCGGAGGAGGATCCTCCAATCCTCATAAGATGGGAGGACAGAGGTAGAATAATATAGTGGGAGGAGCATTCAGGGAAAACCTTTGTTGTTTTCCTCCAACAAAAGCCTTTGCATTATAATTGACTTCACCCATCATGCTAAGTTATAACGGAATTCATCTGTCTTTAGCTTAATATATTGCATGAGTCCACATGTTATTGCTTTAATCAGATTTATATCTTATCATAGAAGTGAATATTTGTAGCTCACGGTTGAACTGTGGGGTCCTAGGTGCTCTCTGAGCTCAGTTGTTTTCTTGCAGACATTGCTATTTTAGAGTGCTACCTTACTCCCTACTAGCACTGATTATGCTACTTAGTTTGGTAAAGAAACATCTGCAAGAAAACATCCAAGATCAGAGAGCGCCAAGGTTCCCACATATCATATTGTGCAAACCTAACTATGATGGATATAATACACTATGGATAGATGACTTATCTTAACAAAGTGTAAGAACTAGGTCAATATGGATGTTTTATGCAAAAGGTCAGATTAAAATTTATGCTCAGCCCTAGACTGATTTACCTTTCATAAAGTGGAATGTTTCATTTTGGCACGTGTGATTTGTAAATTAAGACAAAATTTGCAAAACCATAGTTTGGTGAATACTCCTAGTTGGCTGTGATTACCCCATACACAGTATTAAGGCATAGACTAAATTGACCCTATTTTGGTATCTGCTGAGTAAAAATCCATCTTACCTTGCTGTTTTGTTTTCAGTAAAAATAGAAATGGTCTGATTTCCTGTTCTTTCTCTAACCTAGAGTTCTATTTCTAATTACAAAAATGACAACCTTTTTTTGTTCAAATCACAGCACCGGCACACGTGTTTTTGGTTGGCTTTTTTCCCTGAAGACAGCAAAGATTTGATTTGGCAGCTGTAGAACCTGGCTCTTATTCTAGAACTGCACGGGCCTTATATTCTTTTTTGTGTAAACATCAGTGCAAAATTTTGAACTCTCAAGAATTCATTTGAGTTCTCCTGTTAGCTCTCAGCCACATTTTAGGCACTTTCATGGAGTACTAAAGTGTAAACTGACTTCAGAAAGGCACGAACAAACCGATGAATAAGATCGGACAGCAACAGCCATTTTGGAGAACAAAGATTATTCCCATTTAGAATAATAGAGCTGTGTTGTTATTTGAAGATGCGTGCATCTATATGTCCCTTTTGAGAGAAAGAATGTAAAGGCTTGGGATATAACATGCAGCATCATTAGCATTTGAGAATCATGACCTCTTTTCCACAGCAGGAGATATGCACTGGTGAAAACAGAATAATAGCCATTCTGACCCCTTAGGATATGATTTATCACATAACTCATAGAATAGCAGATTCTGGGCAACTGCTGAAAAACCCTGGAAACAGCTTATTCAGCATGATCCTTGGATGAGATTAGCTCCTATTAGAGTTGAATAATGCTTTATAAATTTGTTTTTCTGTTAGATTTATCTTTGATGGCAAATAAAGATGCCTATATGAATAACAACAATAATGAGGATGAAGAGAAAGAGGAAGCTGCACTTTCCCCAAACTCCCTTGTAGCAGCTTGGACGGCTGTAAACATGGCTGCTGCACAAGGAGCCCACTAAGTACACTGAAATGGTTGGATGGTTAGGAGAGGAGACCACCGAGTCTCTTGCATTGTTCAGGCAGGAGCAAAGTGACCCAGAAGTCAAATGTTGCCTCTGAATGATTGTACTCCAAAAATCACTGAGAGACAGATCAAAAAAGTGGATGGACCAGGGAAAAAATGAGTTGGATTTAATAAAACTGACATTTAAACGATATCGCCAATACTTTTAATTAAATATTTTAAAACAATTATTTTCCAGTTTTTCTTTTCTGTTGTAAAATGATTATGATTTGGCCATACTGTTTAGAGGTCTACTTGTGGCTGTGATCCTTGAGTTTCAGGCTTTGCATTCTTGTTTCAGAGAATTAACTCTTCTAAACTCCTATGACAAACTTTCCTGCCCAGGGTCATGGATGGCAACTGCCATCACTTGTAAACAGGATGGACATTTTTGTGCCTGGCTAGGAAATGATAATGAGACATGTAGGCCATACATCTGGAGGACATTAAGTTAGCAAAGCATGCTAAATACTATTTAGAAACACATGTCATATTGGCATTACTTGAATTATTCCACTATTTACAAGTGGGACTGATGTGATGAAGGAAGAAAACTGTCATTGTGTTGATTATTAGAAGTAAGCAGCGGGCTACCACAAGGTTCTGTCTTAGGCTCAGTACTCTTCAATATCTTCATAAATGACTTACATTAGGGAATTGAAGGGGAACTCATCAAATTTGCAGGTGACACCAAACTGGCAAGAATAGCCAACACCCCAGAAGACAAACTTAGGATTCAAAAAGATCTAGACCAACTTGAACAATGGTAGCTATCCAACAAAATGAGTTTCAATGTGGAGAAAAGCAAAATTTTACATTTAGGGAGGAAAAATCAAAGATACAAGTACAGATTGGGCAAGACCTGGCTCAAAAACAGTAACTGTGAGAGGGACCTTGGAGTTCTAGTCTAGTGGACGATCACTTGACTATGAGCCAGCAGTGTGCAGCAGCAACCAAAAAAGCTAATACAATCCTGGCTTGTATAAGCAGAGGCATAGAATCAAGATCACGCGAAGTATTAGTACCACTTTACAAAACCCTAGTGAGACCACACCTGGAATATTGCAACCATTTTTGGTCACTATATCACAAAAAAGATGTTGAGAGTTTGGAAAAAATTCAGAGAAGAGCAACTAAGATGATCAAGGGCCTGGAGACTAAAACATACGAAGAACGGCTGCAGGACTTGGGTCTGGCTAGTCTAAAGAAAAGAAGAAATAGGGGAGACATGATAGCAGTATTCCAGTACTTGAGGGGCTGCCACAAAGAAGAGGGGGTCACATTATTCACCAAAGCACCAGAGGGAAGGACGAGAAACAATGGTTGGAAACTGATTAAAGAGAGAAGCAACTTGGAATTAAGGAGAAACTTCCTGACAGTGAGGACAATTAACCAGTGGAACAGTTTGTCTCCAGAAATTGTGGGCGCTCCATCACTGGAGATTTTCAAGAAGAGACTAGACAGCCACTTGTCTGAGATGGTATAGGTTCTCCTGCTTGAGCAGAGGGCTGGACTAGAAGACCTCCAAGGTCCCTTCCAGCTCTACTCTATTCTATTCTATTAGATCTGCATCAGAATCAATGTACTATCTAAATACATTGCTCTATAAATCTGTTTAATAAATAGCTTATCTGATTGTGTAGTTGCCATCGTGGGTGTTGTGAGGGTTGGGGGGTTGAACTGTAGATTTTTAACTGTGGATTTTTAATGTTGTATATCATCCAGAGTCATTGTGTGCAAGTTGGGCAGCTATATAAATCTGTTTAATAAACAAATAAATATTTTTCCCATAAGCTCCATAATATTTTAGTTCTATATCTCTATTTAATAGTTTCACTGCAGGCTTTCAATAGCAGCAGTCCTATTTAATTTTTGCTCTTATTGTTTTATTTTCTTTATTATAAAGCAGGACTTCAAAATTAATCTTCTTGTAGCCATATTGGATGTTGTATTTCAAATTCAGCAATCAAGACATTGATTCTTCCCTTTCATGGTCAGTTCCAATTAAATGAGTTGAATCTAGTCATATTCATTTGAAGATGTAATTAATAAATCATACTTTTTCATACTGAAAAATATAAAACATAACCCAAAGTTTCCAGCACACACAGCTTATACTGTATCATGTGGTATACTATTAGCTGAGAGGAATGGGTATAATCAAAATCTTACCTAAGCATTGGCCTGACACACGCTCCATCTCAAACCCATTTGAGCATTGTTGCTAAACAGAAAATAAAAGAGGATCAAACAATGAACAATTGGAAGAATGCAAAATTATAAATCAGAGGGAATATCATGCTTTTCTTTTTTCCTTGGTAGCAATAGACATGAAAAAACCAGCTACCAAGATGAGATGATACAGCCACATGCATTTTTTATATTTGGTAAAGTTTATAATGAATCTAATATTGTGTCATTTTTCTCTTTCCCCTATGCCAGCCCATGTAATCCTTTCCCTTCTTTCTTACACAGTCTGTATCTCACCTGTGTCGTTCCATGACTAATGAGACAGCCAACAGCCATGAAAATGGGCATTAACCTGCAAGAGGTATAACAAAGTTATTATATGGATATTCGCTATGGTGATCTGAAGTAAATAGAAACCAGCTGTTTTTTAACATAACAGGACAGCTTCCAAAATTACATGAGAAAAAAGTGTGCTTAAAGCAAGAGTGGGAATCCATGATCTTTTCATGTGGCTGAACCAGGGATCCCACATGATGAAGATTGCTGATATATATATAGTGCAACAAACTTGAAACGAACAAAAAATAAGAGAGCCAATTTCAATTCAATCAGAATAGAGCTGGAAGGGATTTTGGAGGTCTTTGAGTCCACACCCCTGCTCAAACAGGAGACCCTATTCCAGTGGTGAGATTCAACTATGGGAACAACTGGTTCTGTGTGTGGATGCTGCTTCTGGAAGTCCATTCTGGCCCTGGGCAACAAAAAATTAGTTACCAGTTCTGCCAAAGTGGTGCAAACCAGCTGAATCCCACCACTGCCCTCCATTTCAGATAGGTGGCTGTTCAGTCTCTTCTTTAAAATCTCCAGTGATAAAGCACTTACAACTTTTGAAGGCAACCTGTTCCTCTGGTTAATTGTCCTCACTGTTAGGAAGTTTCTCCTTAAATCCTGGTTGCTTCTCTCCTTGATTAATTTCCATCCATTGTTTCTTGTCCTGCCCTCTGGTGCTTTGGAGAATAATTTGACCCCCTCTTCTTTGTGGCAGCCCCTCAAATACTGGAATACTGCTATCATGTCACCCCTAGTCCTTTTCTCTAGACTGGCCCTACCCAATTCTTGCAACTATTCTTCATATGTTTTGTCTGGTTAAGATACTGTCTACAATGGCTGCAGCCATTTCCCTTGTCTTAAGTTGCCACAGGATTGGGAGGGGGATGGAGGATTTCTGCTAGTCTAAACATTTTACCGTCCTGTGGGGAAACAGGAGACTGTGATGGTTGACTTTGTGCCAGCCACTCTCTCTCAGCCCAATTTACGTCTTGAACTGCTGTGGGGAAAATAAGAGGGGGGGAGGAGTATTAAGTATGTTCTCTGCCTTGAGTTGTTTATAAAAACAATAAAGGCAGAATAAAAAAAAATTAAAAAACGAAACAAAAACTTGGAGGGCTTCCCAACCATGAGCTAAATGTAAATAATCTCAGTACTGCATTCTGACAATATATACCAATACCTGCAATAATTTAGAACTAACATGGCAGAACTGAATCAGTTTGGTGTGGTGATTAAGACATCAGGCTAGAAATTGGGAGACCGTGAATTTGAATTCTGCCTTAGGTACAAAGCGAGCTGGTGACCTTGGACCACTCAATCTCTCTCAGTCTTAGGAAGAAGGCAATGCCAAACCATTTCTGAAAAGTCTTGCCAAGTAAACTGCAGGGATAGTGCAGACAGATGCCAGGAATCAGCATAGATTTAGACACCATAAACAAAACAAACAAACAAACAAATGGCAGAATAACAAAGACTGAAATTGCCAGGAACACTAACTCTTTATCATTCTCTGTTATTTTGCTGTTTGTTTATTTATTTATGATAGCTTCACATTATATAGAGTATAAATGTTATATATAAAACAGAGACTGAAATCAGGTCTCAAATAGTCAAGGGACTGACAGCTCAGAGGCAAAATGTACATTGTTTGCTCCCCATATCTGAGGAACCAGGATCTCCAACAGAACAGCCTCTGGCAGCAGTGTCTTCGAGAGATATTAGGATTATAAATCTCAAGTATCCTGTTGGTCAGAAATTCTCAGCATTATAGTCTGAGCATTCTAGAGCAGGGGTGTCAAACTTGCAACGTCATGTGATGTGTTGCGACATATCGTGGCTTTTTTGCCATTGCTGGCAATGGGGTGAGCGCGGTTTCACTATGATGCATCCGGCCTGCGGGCCAGCAGTTTGACACCCCTGTTCTAGAGGGTACCACATTAAGGAAAACTGCTGGAGAAAAGTGGCTGCAATTCAGAAGAGTTGTCATGCTTTCCTTTCCAGCTATTTTCTTCTGTTCCAAATGGTCCTCTCACTGTATTTTTTTTCACCAAGGAAAAACCCATGGTTCATCACTCAACAGGATGACAGCTGTTGATAGGGATGAGGATGAAGACAGTAGAATCTGAGCAGGAAAAATGGGTAAGGATGCTGGGAGTTATAGTCCCAACGTAATCAGAGGCACCCATCTGGGAGAACTTTCTGCATCATCTATCATGTCCTGCTGTATTTTGTTTCTCTTAAAATCTTTCCAGAGAGATGGTGCAAGTCCAAAGGCAGACTGCATATCTCAAAGGAAGATTGTATTCCAAAGGAAGATTGAAAGATTGTGGTCTTACTAAGATCACAATTAGAATATTGCAGCCAGTTTTGTTTACCATACTATAAAAAAGATGTAGAGATTGTGGAAAGAGTGGGGGGAAAAGCAACAAAGATGATTGGGGGCTGGAGGCTAAAACATATGAAGAACAGTTGCAGGAATTGGTTTGTCTAGTCTAATGAAAAGAAGGACTAGGGATGATATGATAGCAGTGTTCTAATATTTGGGGGCTGCCCAGTGGTGGGATTCAGCCAGTTCGCACCACTTCGGCAGAACCAGTAGCTAATTTTTTGTTACCCAGGCCCAGAATGGACTTCCGGAAGCGGTATCCACACAGAGAACCGGTTGTTCACATATTTGAATCCCACCACTGGGGCTGCCACAAAGAAGAGGGGATCAACCTATTTTTCCAAAACTCTAGAAGGCAAGCCAAGAAACAATGGATGGAAACATCAAGGAGAGAAGCAATCTGGAATTAAGAAGAAATTTCCTAACAATGAGAACAATTAACCAGTGGAATGGCTTGCCTTCAGAAATTGTGGGTGCACCATCACTGGAGGCTTTTAAGAAGAGATTGGACAGCCACTTGTCTGGAATGGTATAGGGTTTCCTGCTTGTGCAGGGGGTTGGACTAGAACCCTTCCAACTCTCGTTATTCTGTTCTGTTCTGGAAGAGTCATTTCACAGGACAAAAAAAAAAGGAAAAACAAAACACTTGCATAAGTGACAGCCAGTATCTAATTCAACCAGACATTGTAGCCAATCTGGGCACCCTGAAAAACATATTCACATCTTCCAATGACTGCAAGCATATATGGATTAGAATCACGGCTCATAAGAACTTTGAGTACATGCATGACTAGAACATAAGAAGATAAATAATTACTCTGCTAGAGCAGGAAAAATTTCTGCTGAATCCAGAATCTTTCCTATAATAGCCAGCCTGATGCCATTAAATAATTTCCCCTCCTAAGATAGAAAAACTCTTATTAGTTGTGTCTACTGCTTGAGAGGGAGTCATTTTCAGATGCATTAAAAGAAAAAAGACAGGTCATACCTGAGGGAAAGTAAATCTAATAGCATGTAACTGAAGGTGCCAGATATTTTCCCCCTTATTTTTGTATCTCTTCCTCTGCTATGTCTTTTATTCAAAATCTAAACTGTACATTCTTTAGCACAGTGATTTATCCTTTATGAAACTCCCCAAAGAACATTGAGCAAAGCCATAGAAACACTAAATAGCAATATAAAAAACCAATCCAATATTGTTTTATAATTTCAGTTACTTCCTCTTTTTTCCAGCAATTTTTTTTCCTAGTTTGCAAAATAAGGGAAATGTCCTCCTATAAGAGTGCAGTCTGGAACTACTTCAAGATAGTTATCTTCACGGGGAAAAATAATAGACACAGCATATGATATGTCGTTCAGTTCCCTCAGGAGAAATTGAGTTAGTCAACAGCATATTAGTGGAAAATATTTTTTTTAAACATTCCGTTGCTGTAAACTGATTTTGATCTACAATAAATGTTGAGGCACTTCTGCACAAAAACTTTTCATAGACTCTGTACATGGCTCCAGTGATAAACAGCTGGATTCAGTACAAAGAGGCTGTCAGATACTAGATCTGCATAATACGAAAGGAATAAAATTATTCCTCCCCTCTCCCGCACAATCTCTTTCAAATGTAATGGCATGTATAAGTTAAGCAGGTCTCTCACAATTGCATTCAGCAAACTATCCAAAAAGAAACAAAATAGTAACATAACACAGAGAACATACCTTTTAAATGCTGTCATGTCCAAAACTGATGAATAAAGCCAAGGAGGTAAAACAGTAATGCCCGTACAGCTGAATATCTAAAAATGCTTTTGTACATTAAATCTTTTGCTAGAACTTCAGACCTGCCATCATTTAATTTCCAGCGAACGAAAGGCCAAATCATAGAGAAACGGGGAGAGAGAAAGAGAGACAGAAAGAATGAGGGGAAGAAAGGGGAAGGAAGGAGGAGGGAGGGGAGGAGAGGGAAGGGAATCAGAGAGGTCTGCTCCTCCTCAGACACTGGAGTGAATACAGCAAAAGCACCTGGTTTTGCTTAGTTCTCTTCTGTAATTCAGCATTAAACCAATTGGAGGAGGAATGTTAAAAATGAATACTTCATTTTCTAAGTATGTTAAAACAATGCAAATGGGAGGCCTCAATTTAGGGACAGCTGGTTTAGATTAGAGAGCTCACCAACTGGCTAGACTCCTTACAACACTCCTAAGAAGCCTGTCAGATGAAAAATAAAGTGAAATAAATAAAAGCAAGGGGAACACTTCCTAAGCAGTGTACTGTAGGTCTGGCAACACTGGCATGAGCAATCGACTTCTATCAAGATCTTTTAGAGAGATCTGCAACTATTGAGTTGTTCCTCTAGAATCTTGACTGCCTGGGAATTCTAGAATTGTAGCCCCAGCATATCTGGAAGGCATCAGGTGGTGGAAGTCTGCTTGAGAATGGCCTTACTTGAGGCTGTGAGGAATAAAATTCAACTTCAAAGGTATTAAAAAACAAAACAAGATTTATTGAAGCGTTTGCAAAGGCTGGTGGACCTCTATACCTGCAAGCAAGAGACTACGTCCAAAATTAGTTCAGCATAAACCTTTACAGTAGTGGCCAAAATTGTGGAAACCTTTTGGGAAAAGTGTATTTTGATGGCTAATAACACCACTTTTTTTGGGAGTAGTACCATAAAATTATATATCAATGGAAATAATTAAATCAAGAATGTAATGCAACAAAGTTTGTACAATTATCTGTACTGTATTCTATGAAAAGTTATAGCCAAATAATCAGAAAAAGGAAACACAACTTGCTTAGGTTGATATCAGGTAGCTTTCCTTCATCTGATTGTAGCCAATGAGCATGAGTGTTTAGAGAGCCAATCAGGTGTCATCTTGTTTTGGCAATGAGCCAATCAGATCACAGTAGGATTCAGTTATTGATGTCATGTATTGAAGCTGAGAGGAGGACATTTGTCAGTGTGTTATGTAATCGCTATCAAGTTGGTTGGGTTTTTTTGTGTTCTTTCATTTAGTGAGCTTGTAAAACGTAATAAAATTAAAGTAATGGTGCAAAGAGTTGACTGGTTGTCCAGAAAGCAATGTAAAATAGTATTATTAAGTGACAAGGCTACAGTTATAAAGAAATTAGAAGAAAAATTGGTGGAAATTTAACCAAAGGTGGCATTTCTACTGTACACTTTTCCCAAAAGGTTTCCACAATTTTGGCCACTACTGTATACCTGTCCCGTAGAATTACACCACATCCTTCCTTTTCAGACCTGGTTGCTAGGCTCGGTCTGGCCACATGCTTTCCGACCCTGAAGCTTTATGATTAATAGCTTCTTTGTTTTCGTCTTCTCTCTCCTCCTTCTTTGTATGTGACATTCTACTAATTTAGGATGAAAGTTATCTATAGGAGGAGTCTGTCTGTCTAAGCTGGATAATTTCAACAGTTACAAATGATTAATCTCTCAAAAGGCTCATTTTCTTTTCCAATATCAGCCATTTCTTGGCAATAGAATATATGGGAAATGGCTTCATGCAACTGATATGTTAGAACAGAGTTCCCCAACCTTTCCAGCTTGGCAGAAGGAAGAGAGCAGCAGGGAAATGTGCACGTGCACAGCCCACACACGTGTGCGCAAACAGGCATGTGCATGATGGTGGCGCTAGTGTATGTGTGCATGCGCAAGTGGGCTGTGCACACCCAGGGCAAATGTGCTGCTGTCTGTGTGCATGCGGGAATGGGCTGTGCGCACCCATGGCGCATGCACACATGTGCAAACGGGCCGCTGGTGCCGTGATGCTGGCGGCGGTGGTAGCATCCCAGCGCATGTGCAAATGGGGCCGCTAGTGCCAGCGCAGTGGTGCTACTGTGAGTGGGGCGGGGCCCAGTGGCCAACAGGCCACAGCCTGGTACTGGGCCGTGGCCCATAGGTTGGGGACCCCTGTGTTGGAAGGTAAACTTTGTCAATTGCCTCTTCAAGGATCAATTATAACTATGTTATTCAAAATATGCAACAAATTATAATGTTTGAGGAACTTTTATACCGTAAATGTTGAAAATTCCATTTTGGATTTTTTCTTCTATATGCCCCCTGTGTCAAAGAGTATACTGAGATGAAGACTTCAGTTCGCCAAAATGGAGGCATGTGAGCATTTCCTTGCAGGATTAACATCACATTAGAACTACCATATATGTATTGCTAAAATCTGTCCATTACATAGTGTTGATGGTGGTGGTGGGGTTCTGTGTTTCTTTGCTGCCACCTTGAGGTTCCTTGGATTTTTGCAAACCTGATATGGTAGCCCTATATCACATGATTTATCTTCTAATCCAGCGGTTCCCAACCTTTTCTATACCCCACACCCCAGAACGCTTGATATATTCTTGCACCCCTTACAAAAGTTCAAAATAATGGTAACAAATTATGCATATACACTATAATTTTGAAAACCCAATTTTTCACACCCCCTGGAATATCGTCTCGCACCCCTGGTTGGAAACCCGTTCTAATCCCAAACCCGTTCTTCCCCTCCAGAAAGATCCTGACATATTTGCAGCATACAGTACGAAAGTTTATTGGCTGGGTTACTACATGACACAGAGGGAGATATATAGAAAATGTATCATATTGACTGAATTCACACCCTGCACAAAGGCAGGGTTAAGCAAATATTGTATTCCCATCATCAGCATTCCATCATCACTGACCATACGTCCTAGGTAACCAACATCTATAATGCCACAAATTGCACACTAAATCTATGCAAACAATGATAATAAGGTGCTTCACAGCACATACGAGTGTGACTGAAGCATTTCTGTTTAAGTTACCAAAGCTGCTGTGTCTTTTGCAAGGTTCCAACTGTAGAGACAACTTGCACCACAAGTAGATGAAAACATTGATATAGTAAACACTGGCAATGTTGAGGTGTTTCATTATATATGATTATAGAAATTCCATTCAAGAAGATCTTGCCTTTGGTAAACTACTTCCAACAAGAACAGCTGAAATCATTTTAGGCTAATTGATGAATTTATTATTGTAAACAATAGTAACTTAGAAAATAAGTGTTGGACTGAACAATGTTTGGACTGAAGCAACAGCAGAATCCTAGGCTGTGTATGATTGCACTCTAGTATTTGCAGAGAAACACTGTGATAACTGTACCCTCACTTTTGAATACCACTCTTAAAAAATGTGTGTTTTATGAATTATATAAAATCTCATATTTTATATTCCATAATATGTACTGCTTTGTGCAAAGTGTTATGATGTAATGATGAAGTTTACTTTTTACACCGGGATGTGCAATGACTATCTAAAAGAAACATTTTGGAAGAACTTTGAAATAAAGAATTACATCCTCCATGAGTCAAAATATTTGAAGTTGAAAGATAGGTTTTGTGATTTTAATTTTCTTAACATTTGTGGGATATGTGACATACTCGCTTTTTATGTGAGTTAAACCTGAAATTACAAAACACTTAATATTTTCATTGTTCATCTGAAACAACCATCTAAAAGCTTCATTAATGGACTCCTATTAACAATAGTCAATAGGAGAAAATTTTAAATCATTATGCACTTCAACTAAATTCTATGAGTAATGTGATGAAATGAGTACTTTGGCTGTGATTTCTGTAACAAAGAACATCTCTTAGTGCTAACTTCAAACTTAAATTAATATTTTCTTCCGACTGATGCCAATAAATTACGGATTAACAACCACTATTGATGCAGAAAATCAAGCCTTAATTAAATTTTACTATAATTCTACCTTAAAATGCATTTTGAGAAATTCTCTTTGATTTTGAATTTTTAAAATATTCACATTTATCTGAAAAAGCAGTCAAATACTGACTCCATTTCATCGCAAAGAATTTGTATTCTTTTATTTTTCCATTTTAAAATTATGTATAGTATTTATATGTCTGGGCCACAAAACAGGTACCAAAAACAATCAATCCCCATCTATTATTTGAAAAGCCCTGCATTAGGCACTGCTTCATGGGGCAAAATGGGTCTTCAGAGCCTTGTCTCATGTTGCTGCTTTTCTTAGTTGAGTTGGTTGTATGAACCCAGAAAATTTTAGTAAGGAAATCATAGTTAGCATACCACGCAAATTTATTCCCAATTAAATACTGGTCATTATATTTGAATATGAATATATTCCTCTACATCTGCAGTGTAATCAGAGTCATTTGACAATGAAATGGGCGGCATATAAATTTAATAAATTCCACTGTATGGCAAATACTACTGTGTCTCTGTTGTGTGGTGTCCTTGTGTGTATCTCAAGCTTCAATATAATTTCATTCACATTAGGATGTACAATTTTTAAAATAAGTCAGTTATGAACATTTATTAATTTATTAGATTGTCTACCAAAGACTCTTAAACATTATTTATAATTAGAGGATTAATTCTTCCAGTGTCTGTCTGTCTGTCTGTCTGTCTATCTATCATCTATCTATCTATCTACCGTATATGGATTTATTATCCTTTGTTCTTTTATTGCTAGAGTTCTAACTGCCACAGATGTCATCTTCAATTATTTTCTTTCTTATCTTGATTATCTTTCAGTAAAATTAACAAAAACAAGGAAGATGCCAAATATAAATAGGCAACATCAGGTAATACTAACATTTAGTCATATCAATCATTCCAAACAATAAAAAAACAACAGGAAATGAGATCAAATGATAGGACTAACCTATCATTTGACACGAGTTGGACCTCATCTGTTTAGTGCAATTGTTTTCTAACATATTCAGATGATCTCACCTTTAAAAGCACACTTATAAGGCACATGTATAATTTTGTTTTAATTCTTGCAATAAAAGCAGACCGCTGCTTCTTATCTGAATGGAAAATGACTATAATTCCAAGCTCTCCTGATTTTCTGATCA